AAAAACATCTACAGACAGTCCTGTCTGATTTCACCAAATCTCCATTTGAGAGCTGCCTACTCATATCCAACAACATTAGAAGGAAGAAACAACCAGCATGGCATATCTATAAGTCGTCGCAGCAGATACATCACAAACTGCTGCGATTGTGCAGGACAGAATGGACTGAAGTGGCCGGGGCAGGCAGGATATTGACCTGCTTTGAGGACATGTTGCGGACCCTTAATCCTTAAAAAGGATCTTGTCAGCACGGCGATGTGATGCCGGTAGCCTGCTGGGCCGGCTGTGGAGATGGCCAAGCCCTGGAAGGCAGTCTGGCTGGTGGGACAGTATGGCCAGAAAAACTACCATCTGCTGGGGAGAGATGTGTGTTTTCACACACACAGGCCCCTTTGGCAACAGCAGTCTGAGAGGGCCTTCTCAAGGACTGGAGAGGACGCTTTAAAAGCTGAGAGAGGCAACAGTGAGGCCACAGGGTGACCCTGGAAAACACGCCCCATTAACTCAATGAAGGGGCATAACAAGTAAATTGGTATTTCACCTAGACGTGCAGTTTATTCACATGAATATCAACAGAAATGCAAACATGCGCAGACTGATGGCCAGCATTTCTTCCCAAGTGTTTGTAATTCCAAGCAGTTCAGCTTTAACTCTCTATGGCCACACGCACTTTAGCAATTAGCAGAGCGTCTTTGCATTCTTGATTTATCGATTTTGTAGCCCACGGTTGAGATATTCTGAGAAATGGAATCAACAAGCATACAATATATGTGAAAATGTATGAATACAAACACAGACAGCATTCTCTCTGTGCTCTAGCCTGGAGCCTGGATTATCCACTTTCAGTTTTCCTTTTTTCCTCACTTCAAAGTATCAAAGAGTGAACAGTTGCAGTGGAACGACTGCACTGTTTGTTTTGTCAAATACACTTCAGAAGAATACAGAATTTTCATTAGGGGGAATGCAACAGTCACAATCGATATAAGGTCTAGCCAACTACGAAAGAAGCAACATGTGAGATTTACAATAGAACAAAGCACCATGGTTCTCTTAATTCCTACATGGTTAGTCATTTATTCACAATGGAACAGCACTAGGCAGGGGTTCAGTACATTCTACTGTGCTAGGTATGGTAAGTATTTGAGTGTTTCCTGTCTTTCTTCAATAGACTTCGATTGTCTTCATGCATGATTGATTTGCATACTAAGAGTAAGAAAGGTTCAAATCCATTCTGGGCACTATATCCTCACCCTGTCCACTCCACCTCCATTTGTGCTTCCACTTTGGTCGGGTTAACCATTTTAATGGCCATTCCAGACCAGTCAATGGGCACTGTAAGTGGACTGGAAAGCCCTCCAGTGTTGACTCACCAAAGTCCACTAGTATTATTACCTGGCTGATGTAAAATGTATTGTAATGGCCGTAAATGTGTCAGCAGAGAAGTAACAGGACATTTTCGACAGAAAGGTCTGCATGGTCTTACAACTAAAGAGGACTGTCATGGTCATTCTTCAACCGTAATACACAGTATATTTCTCTCTCACAGCCTTTAAGAGTTTTTTTCAATGATTTGATGTAAAAGAAAAAAATATATCCATATTAAACTCTTAAATATAAATAACAGTCTAAAAATGTAATCTGTATCAGTCGTGCATACATTACAAAAGCACATAGATCATGTAAAATTCCATTATCTCTTGCAACTTTTTAAATAATAGTAGTCATGCTCAAAGTGTTTTTCTTATTCCGTGTTATTGTGAATTTAGCCTGAACTACAAGAACATGAGCAGAAGTTAATGTCAAGGAAGAAAAACAACAATTTGTTCTCAATTCAATCATCTACAGAAAGTCGTATCCAGGGTGACATAAATGTTTCTGTTAGAGGTGAACACAGCCTCCTTTATATAGAAATATGCTGTCAGCTTGTTTGCATGCACTGTCAGTAACAGCAGTGACAAGGGATCTGTTTGAGAAGATTTGTTTCAAAATGACAAGCAAACAATGGACACATTCTTCTTAAAAAGGGTGCATCATGGATGTGGTTTAGTTGAGCAAAAGTCAGTTAACGAGCTATACAAATGTTCTTGTTGACATATTGCACTAACTATGTTTTTATCAGAATGAGAATCTCGTGAACTGTGTCTCCATTATTTCCCCCGATTGTCATGGCTGCTACACTTGTTAATATGCAGCAAATCAAACTCATGATATATTTCTATAATCTACGAATATAAAGTTATATACCGCCTACCCCCGTCATCTGGGACATGTTGATCCCACAATTGATTTTGCGTAAGTGACAGCTCATCAGACTCAGGGGAGCGATGGCACGAAGAGATATGCGATAACCTCGTTGACTGTTTTTCATAATTCATCAGCCTGTCCCAGAATTAGAATAATAACAGAGCTGTGTTTGGATTGTGAAGCGTTGCATAACAGAGCTAGGATCAAATTCATTTTGACATCAGTGTTGTTTTGTCGAGACTGTCATTTCACTCTGTTTTTCTTTGTAAATGTACTTTGAAAGTCCATATCCATCAATGTCCAAGCTCATTTGAGTATATTGGTCCGAAATGTGCACCCAGTAAGATTTTCTGTTGATTAGTCTTCATTCATACAGCAGCCCCTAACCCCTCGTTCTCAACTGACATACGTAATACTATACTGATTCAACATCTGCACTGACAGGAGTGACAGTACATCAATCTCATGAAAATGTTCCAATTTATTTTCTGGTTTTATTGATCCTTAATTAGCCATGCACATATTGATTAGTTGTGTCATTTAAGTATCTCCAGATTTAGTTTGGGCCTGTCATTGGTTTAGCTTGTTTTCACTCCACATTCACACTGAGATGTGTGATGACTCATTGGCTTAATTTAGTCTGGACACATTTCTTGTCAGTTGATAATCTGTTCAGCCCTCTCCCATCTTTTTAGACATCTACGGTAAATTATTGAGTGATGGGCTTTTAGGCTTTAGGAGAATATACAAGGCTGCTGATCAATGTCTCCATAACAGGTCTTAATCATTGTCTGTCTTTTGCACGAAGGGATATAAATCCAGTATGCAGAAGCATAACCTATATATCCTTACACATAGGCATTTGAATGCTGCACTCCATTACAAATCAATCAATGACATTTCAGAATACATTTTTTGTCCTGTTTAACTTTTAACAAGAAATGCTCTGCAGCCTTAACCGTGACACATCAATGAGTGTGTATTCAGTCCTGATTTATATTTAAGGAAGGTGGTGATTTGTTTTGATGATATTTGATTAAGATCCCATATGAGAGCCGTTATCAGCTCCAGTTGTACGACACATAGATGAGAGAGCCGGATATTTATTGCAACGATTGCCTGCTGGTGAGTGTGCTCTGACTTATTTGCCGCCGCGGGACACCCGACACCTTTGTTTGATGTACACCTCTCAGTTCTTAAGTCTTCAACTATATGGGCACTTTCACAATGCAGAGAAGGGGTTTATCTGTCAAGGGGAACCATCAGAAATGATTTGGTGATGATTTGATTTTCATCTCGGGAGTATATGGCTGTATAAATAAATGCTTCCAAACAGGCCGGGCACACAGGCGACCTGATGATGGAGCTGTGGCATAATCTCTTAGATGAGAGAAGAAAAGTCGGAGAAACTTTCTGAGCCAATCGGCTACATTTGGATTTAAATGTGATTGCTTTCGTGTGTGTGTGATGTACTTTTTGACATTCACATTTGGATCATCCCTGTGAATGCTGTTTTTTTTTCTACAAATGAATGCATCTTTTTATTCACCTGCAGGAAGTTGCCGTTTTACAATCAAGGCTTAAGGTCCTCTATTATGTTACAGATGAAAGACTAGTCACACACCACCCTTAATCCTGAGCTTAGTAATAGCAGTCAATTAAAGAGTATGCAAGTCGATTTCCTCATGCATTGTGTCTGATCTGTGTAGGTCTTATATCAATACAGATTTTCTTACACATAGTAAAATCACCTGTCTTGAGTATTAAACCTTCAAAGTAGTTCTTTAGCATTTACTAAGAATGTGTCTGTAAATAAGGAAAAGTACCCTTCACCTTGTATGACAAGCATGCAGAAAGTGGTGCTTTGATAACGGTAATTGCTTTAATAAGCTACAGCTAGATCAGATGCTCCTTTGCCTCCTGTGCTACTCAGGTGAAAAGCAGCTTGAAAAAAAAAAAGCTATTCTCCTGATAATGACCAGACAGGCAGCAGTGACCCTCGCTCTTTTGCTCTTGTTACATTTGTGTTAACCACTCTTTGACTCAGTGTTTTTTAATTAATGGTTTCACACTCTTAAGCCTCCAGCATTGTCCTTGGCTGTGTTAAGCCTGAGCTGTAAAGATGGTGAGTTCTGATGTGCCGGGTGTATTTGTAAGGTCAAATAGCAAATCATATCTGAAGGATATTCAGCAATACTGTGAATGCATTAACTATACATCTGTAAAACACATTTTGAACTAACGGCAAAGTAATTCTGAATTAACTAACTAAAGACTGCTGCTGTACAGAAACACAGTACACAGACATAGTAACTAAGATGTGCTGTTTTTTAGTTTAATAAGGCTTAACATGCTACCAAATTAGCAGCTAACTAGCTATGTTAGCTTATATTATTACTCAGCATTCAAAATGGAGAATCAATGTGAGCAGCAGCGGCTAAGCGGTTGATTAAGAGTTTCCTCAGCATTTTATAAATGTCCTCAAAGAAAGACTCAAGTTTTCTTCTTTGGGTATAGTAGCCAGCAGGTGCTAGCTAATAACTAAGCTAACGGTTGCTAAAGGAGCAGGCACTGGTGAGAACACTCACAAAAAACTGAATCAAAAACGAATTATTAGAAATGTTCAATTAATCTAATATTTCAAAATAAGTTATTTTACTCAATGTTTACTTCATTTATTCAGGTGACTACGCCATATATCTTTTTTAAATCGTTTAGTACTCAATATATTTGGCCATGCAGTCATGTTTTCTCACCTCGGACCACGATAGTGGTGGACTTCTTGGCCGGGTTTCCCACACTGTTACTGGCCACGCAGCTGTAGACGCCCGCCTCGTCTGAGGTGATGGCTGGGAGTGTGAGCGTGCCCCCCTTCACCACGCTCCTTTGTGGTAGGCTGTCATTACTGCAGATCCAGGTGAGAATGGGGGGCGGCTCTCCACCTGTGGTGATGCACACCAAGGAGACCGTCTGGCCCGGGTTCACCACGATGGGGTCCTCCACCAGCAGCTTGATGGAGGGGGAGGCTGTCAAAGACAAGCAAATCGAAAAATGTAAAGAACGGCAGAAAATGGGTAACATTGGCTGTTATAACAATATACTGTATGTCAGTTCACTGTTTCCTCGTCTGTCCAACACTTATTTATACACCTTTATAGCATTTGCCGTTTTCTTTAGCATCTACATGACTTGAAATAATATTATAAGCACTGCTACAACAGTAATTGTGAGTGTAATATGCTTATAAATAATCTTAGTACCTGTCTTATTGGTGAGTTTGAAGATAACACTGCGGTCAAGGATCGCACACACATTTCTGACAGAGGCCACGCAGCTGTAGTTGGCGTAGTCCTGAGGGCGCAGGTTCTTCAGCTTCAAAATCTTCGTTTCCCCCTGCAGCTCAGACCAAACCACAACTGGTATGCAAATGTGTGCAAAACACTATTATAATCAAGTAAAATAAATGCAGAAAGCTACATGGTGGGACGGAGATGACAAAGGCCAAACAGCTCCAAAGAAAAGGTCAAAGAGATGAATATGTATACAGTTTTAATGAAGCCAAAAATAAAGAGTTGCAGAGTTCAAGAATAGTACTGTAAAATCGGTTGCAGAAATGATGGAGCTAGTTTTAAAAAGGAAATGGATGTGTCAAACTGTTTAATACCAACGAGTGGATTTTTCTCCAGTCAATGGCAATGTGGTATTTTCACCATTCAGCTGCAGTAATATGGATGGTTCTCAGCAGGGAAGGGCTATCTCACTTATAATGCGTTTGATTCCAACTGGGCCTGTCAACAGCGAGCCCCGCCCAGGAGGCTATAATGAGGATTTGGACCTTTGATCTGACTGACTCCAATGTGTGGGTGTCGGGTTGGAAGGAGGAGGCAGTGGATTATAACATGAGTCAGCCACACCATGCTGCAGTCTGCGCAACATGGCAATCACTCACGTCTATCATATCCAACGAGGCTCATGGATCACATAATTATATTAGATTAGCCATGGACCCCACGCTCCTCTTCCTTTATGTCTCTGTCACCTCCTCTGCCTCGGAGCAGAGATCAGGAGATGGGGTCCGCGTTATTCTGAGTGCAAGCTTTACTCACAGCAGGTGGGGGGGGCAGGTTTGAAGGAAAATCTATTTGGATAATGCAAGGGGCAGAGAAAGGAATGGAAAGGACAAACACATTAAACCAAATTGGACAAGGGGGATTGATGGCCATATCGATGGGAAGATTGAACACAACAGCTTTGGGAACGAGACTGTAGGTAAAGGACAAAGAAATGATAGAGCAGAGCATTGTCAGTGTGAGGGAAAAATCTCAGTTTTCATGTTTTAAATTACATGTTTGAGGGATCAAATGCTGGGAACATAAAGATGAGGCATAAAGATGAAAATGAGGAAAGTTTGTCATGCTAGCAGCAGGAAAACTACTAACTTGACTACATGGGGGCGAATAAATTAGCAAGGAAGTTAAATGTGACATAAACCCCATGTGGGCGATAACAATATGTTGCTAACTTTAAATGGTTACCTCCTCAAGAACTAAAAACATGCTCAAACTGCAGATCGCAAAAAAAACCATCATAAACATTAAAACATATCAGCTGCTATAAAGAGGTGGGAATCTGACAAGGGATGAGCAATGGCTCCATTATACCTTCGATAATTGTCCCATTCTGTGGCACTTTGGTGGGGAAATCATGCAGTGAGAGGTGGAGGAAGAAGTAACAGACAGTAGAAAGGAGTCTGTACAATAAAGTCACAGCTGTGGATCTCATTTAATAATTTCTTCACATTACAGTCTCTGAAATGCCACCTCTGCATTCCTACAGTTTCAGTGGGAATATAAACGTACGTTTGATGGACTGAAGAAGGTGTAAGGGAATGGAGCCGGGATGAAGGATAATGGAGGGAGGATAGTACAGAGGTGAATTTAACTTAATAATGTGCCAGGCCAAAATGGAGGCCTGGCTGCTCTCTAATGGAGTCTACTTCCCGTAGGCTTTTGTCAGAGTGTGTTTCAGGCAAGTTCAGACATATTGGTAAAAAATAATTTATTAGCCATTTATACAAGCATATTACTAGGAGTTTAGTCAGGATTTATTTGGAGTTTGACTGTCACAAAGCTAATTTCTGGGTTTGGATTGCACTCATATTTTCCGAACCAATTAAAGCCTTAATAGAGGGCAGGATGATGGAGCAGAGAGGTACAGAGAAGGGAAGAGTGCCTGATGAGGCCTGGTTTCTTCAGCTTCCTTCACCCACTCCATTAGTTCCCAGCTATCTTTCTCCATTTGGCCAAACATCCATTTCACTTCCTTTTTCTCTCTCTGTTTCTTAAGCCTCTTTTTCTCAGTCCCATGTCTTTTTCTCTGGCAAACCCGGTTTAACATACAAATCACATTTAACTCAACCAATTCAAAAAATACAATTCGCTCACTGGTGCCGGAGCAGTCTCAATCAGCTCTTTGTTGACAGCACATGATCCTTTTTTTAGAGGAAAAGTTTCTCAATTTCCAGAAAAATAAATCCACAATTGAGAGAACTGATTGTGAAAAGAACTCAATCATCCTTTGACAGAAGGGAGTTAATATGCATGTAACTGTGAAACAGGGTTAGTCAAACGGACACAGCTCTTCATAGGGTAAACGAGTGCAGATTTAAGGGGGTTGTGTAAGGGTTTGGGGTACGGTTATGAAACAACCAAAAAACTGTCCAAATGGTACCGTCTCCTTTTCTTCTACATGATATAGCAACACTGTTATTCCAATTATTATTGCAATATGTTAAACTAATGACAACATGTTGACTCACCAGTTAGCTACTTCGGCTTACTCATCTTGTGAAAACAACTCAGTGTGCTTGTGTTGTGTTCTTGCACGTATTACTCATAGTCTAAATAGGTTGATGAAGGTCAGCATTTACATAATTGTAACGTCTAAGGCCTTAAAGTATATGCAGAACATGAGAATCAGTCAACTGTTTTACAATGCAATGCTCATTACAAGTGGTAATAATAAGACTACCATTATAATAATGGTTAGATTTACGTCAAGGGATTATGATTATATCTTCTTTTTTTTAATGGAAACTATTACCTGATAATGAATTTGCTGTCAGAACATTATGTTTGGTAGCGTGGCTGAAACATTCGCAATAGTTTTTATACATAAAATCATAGCTACAAGCAGACATTGTAATAGAAAAACCCTCTCATTGTGTCACGAGACCTTTAAATATGAAAGAGCACTGTCTGAAAGAGCTTCAGCACATGATCTCCTGATGAATGTATCTTTATACTCCTACTAAAGCTTATTATGGTTGTTTCACACCCTTTATTCTGTATCAGCCTATGTATCCTGTCTTTGTAGTATACATAGGGAGGGCAAAAGGTGCATGTCTTCACAACAGCAAAATTAAACGATTGCCAAAATCCTCAAGTTGAATGTCCGACCTTAAGGCTTTACTTGTACAGAATGAAAGGAATATAATATGTATTCACTGCACTATTTCGTCTTATTTTAATACCTTCATCCATGTTTCCGTGTCTTACCTGAGTGAAAAAGGGCTCGTAGATCTCCACTCCCTTGTCCGAGCCCTGCGTCAGGACCTCTCTCCCACGGTGCCAGCTGTAGCGGACGGGCGGGTTGGAGTTGGCCACGCAGCGCAGAAACACTGTCCTCTCATAGTAGAACTGTTCCTTAGCTTCTCCTATACTCTGGTGCACCGTCACCGTCGGTTCATCAAGGTCTAGGAGAGAAGAAACACAGCATGAATAAATTCCATGAGTTTTTTGGACAAGTATAAGACTGCAATCAATAGCAAGGACCACTTTTCATGGCATTTTCTTAGGAATAATAAACCAATCAAGCGTAGAATCTTTGTATCAGTAAACACGACTACAATCTCTCGGCTTGATTGTGGTTGAAGGTCTGACCAAAAGGGTCAGAATTGTCATTGCATTAGGAGGGTGAGTTATCAGCATGGGCGCCGGAGGTCGATGTGGGAAAGGAGGTGAGAAGCCAACTTGAACTACTTAAGTCAATAGGATGCAGCCCAAGGGCACATTGACTTCCCAGTCAATGAGTGAGCAGCTGTGTTCCAGGTCACACCGCATTGTGAGTTTCATACTTGATCATGCGATCAAATACAGCCTGTAAAATGATATTGGACACAATGTTGATGCTCTAATTTAGGCTTTCTTTGACTTTACACATCTGTTACTTTGCCCATTTCCCAGAAGATATGAGGGACGTGTTACCCCAACACTTGGTTATTTGAGAAAGCGCTGGTGTTTGATTAAATGGATTCAAAGTTAATCATCTTACCCGGCTATCGCATTAAGCCTTGGCAAATGGTGTTCATCATAGCTGTGGTGTCTTTTAGCATGCTAATGCTCCCCCTTTAAGATTATGTTCATCTGCACGCTCAAATAACGTGGGGAGCCTGCTGTTCCCCTTTCATCTGAGTCCGAGATGCAATCAGTTTTTGACACGAGCCAAAAGGCAATTTAAGGGAGAGGATGAGGGGAAGTTATCCCTCGTGCTAAAATTCAAACTGATAAAGGCTGACCTTTTGTATAGAAAGAGGAAAGTGATTGAGTGTATTAAGGGGTGAGTTAGTGCATCAGTGAGCGAGCAACAAGGTGGATGATTGAGTGATGGAGATCGTGTGAATATGTGCAAACCGCTTACAGTAAATGAATAACCAAACCTTTAACGATTATAAGCCTCCAGAGGAAAAAATACACACGCCTTGGGTATTATTAATGGATGAATTCATCGCTTTTAATTCAGTAGCGACTGCACACCTCTGGATTTGCTGAGGATCAGGTCCTAATCAAGGTGCCTGCGGGGCCACACTGCGCAGCATCCAGCCACAGAATGCTGATTCCTCAGTTTCATTAAAGACATGTTCTGCCCTACAGCCCCTTAATCAAAATCTAGCAGCGGTCAATACTTCATCCAGGATCCATTACAGTGTCTCAGGTAAGAGCAATTACCTTTAGAGGGGGGGGGTTGGGAGAAACAGGGGAGGGGGTGACAACGGAGAGATTGCTGGGCCATTTTAGAGCAGCCAATTGCTAAGTAAATACACTGATTCATTACAGAGGGGAGGAGGAGAGTATGAATCCCACATCTTATCTGTGATTCTTCCCTGTTTCCCCCTCATCCATTTCCTGCTTCAAACAGTCAATTTAGCAACTGTGGCAGGAATGGAGTGATTCATTGACAGCCCTATCTACCTTGGGATACACGTGTCTTAAAGCGGCAGGGCTGAAGGGAGGATGTCTTTCTTTCCTCATAGTGACACGAGAGTGTGTTTCTGTATGTTTGTGTATTAGGTAAAGGAGCGGTTTGAGCTATTAATAGGGCCAAAATGATATGCAGAGAGGAAGTGGATGCTAGGAGCGCAAAGAGATAAATATGGAAATATGGAAATGTACGCACTGGATTAAAATTTGATGAATTTTAAACAAAATTCCACCAACACCATCAGTCTTTCCCCCCGAAAGGATGGTGTGTGAGTGTGTGTTATTTGTGTGTGTCACTCTTGTGCAATTAGCTTCTGAAGTCACGCTTGACTGATTGTGAAGCTTAAATCCCCGGGCCCAGAGGAAAACTGTGGCTTTTTCTTCGCCTGCGCCAGAGTTGTTAAGGTTTGTAATTGCTGGTTTACGGGTTCACAGGCCGGTAAATCTGCCCATGTACAGCTAAACGCTCCAGCGAGCTAACCTTAGCATCACTCCTGCTCACTCCCACCAACCATGACAAGGCTCAAAGCTCCGGGTTTCTTTGATATTAAGACACGGGAGCAGCGTGAACGGCAGACACACAATGTGTGCGCGATGAGGTCTTGGAAGACAAGCGGGGGGAAAAAAAAAGGTATTCAGTTTATCTCAAATCTCTTTGTTCTCTCGAGTGAATAGAAGACGTTGATACTCCCGTTTGAAAAGCAGGTTGGACATTTGGGCTTTGTAAGCCTACCTAAACATTTGTCGGACAAATAGACACAAGTGAGTGGTTTGGATAAAAGAGAGTTTGAGGATTAAACAAGGTGCTTCATTATCACATCAAACCTTTGCTCCTTCCTTTGAAGTCCCCCACTCCCACTGCCGGAAAAAAGAAAACAGACACCTTCACAAAAACTCACACACATTAACCTTTCCCACCTTCACAACCTCAGCCACCCACACGCACATCATCACACACCTTTTTAGGAACGTCTCTCGGGTGTTAATCTAATGCAAGTTTTTTCTATTTTTTGCCTGGCTTTGATGTCTTTCACTCCCTCCCTCTGATGTGTCAAAGTCACCTGGGAGGAGAACACCTATCTGGCTCCCAGGCTGTCAGCCACCAGCGACAGAAGCCCGCCATTCATTTCACCTAATCACCGTCCCAGCTTCATTACCAGCGGGAGGCGATGACCTGAATGACATTTGGAGCGACGCCTTTCATGAGTAGAAACAGCCCTGTTATGACTAAGACAAGATATTTGCTTTTATTTTGCGTGCCAGGGGACAACGAGGGAGAGCGGGGGAGTAATAAGGTGGTCGTGGTTAGAGGGAAACAGAGACAAAAGGGAGGAAGAATAAGGTTGAGAGCATGTATGAACTTCTACCTGGCTGTTGTCAAGATGAGAACAGGATGTTGTACATCAACTGTTACCAAATTAGGGTGCCTCACTCTCGTTCTCTCTCATAACGCTTTTTTCCCCCCCGGTGGAAATATGTGCATAAGGCATAAGGGATTAGGGAAGTTATTACTTGGCAGCCTGTACTGTGAATGACCTTACCTTCAAGTTTTTTTTGGAGATGATTTTTGAACGTAAATCCTTAAAAAAAAAGGGAGACCAACTCCAGATAAAAATGTGAAAATTAATTCCTGGCTTTTTAGATATTCTCCAACCAGATAAAAAAAAAACAGGCTGTTTGTGCGTATACTTCAATTTCTTAAAAATATCACAGTCTGCTGTTTTTAAATAAATAGGAAATTGAGGTAAGGGGCAAGGATGGTTTAGCGTGAGATATTTCCACACGGATGTATAATGCTTTGGATTAATGTTCTGTAAGGACCTTACATTTGCAATATGCAACATGAATACACAATGTGTAAACACACATACAACAAATGAGACAGCAGAGATATAACATGATCTAGATGTCGTGTAATTTCCGTTTGCAGAACGGCGCACTTTAATGCATTTCATTTATGTGGGTGAGAAGGTTAATAAGCCACGTGGTGATATATAACATCCATCTCATGTGGAGTCCACTGATGGAATATGTGTATCCGGCATGTAATTTACTGTTGGAACATTTTCTTTCCCTCCATCTCTCAACCCATTGGCAACAGTGACCTCTATCTCATGGCTGCACTCAACAATAACCAGCTCCCTGCTAGCTGTATCTATTTGGTGTCAGCTGTTGCTTCGTACTAAAGTGTGATTGTGGTGGTGGATGGATGTGTTTGGAGGGTGGCGAGGGGCATGATGCATCTATTCCCACAATAAGTCCACTCTGACGATGTGTAACAGAGATATCTCAGAGAACTGAATATCATTCTCCGAGACGTGAGAGACGAGCGTGAACTATCGAGAGGGGGGGGAATTAAGGAGAGAGAGCCGAGAATCCTGGGAGAAGCTCATTCAGTCTGTGTGCGATATCTGGGTGCAGCGCCGTAACATCTCTATGTTGAGCAATACAATAACAGTGAATGGACACATCATACAGCATCGAGCCACACAATAAAATTGATAATGAAAACGTGATCCAGCTCCGATTGGTAGATTGTGATCTTTATGATATTTTATAACTGAAATTGAATGTATGTCTAAGCCTTGGAATACATTGACTTCCATGCAGATCAAACAAGTCACCTGAAATATAGCACACTCTAAAGAGATTACTGCAAATAACCAGATTAAGGTAACCATTTGAAGAAGATGTTTTCGATTACTACTCCCCACCACAGATATATTAGGGCTGTCCCTACTCTACGATTTGCTGACAACACACTTTGGTTGACTGGGAAATAGATTATTGATTTGATGGTATAGGTTTGTCAATCAGTTAAACGTTATTGGTTTAGAGTGGCTTGGCTCATCGCTGCCCCTTAGTGCTTTTGTTAAGGTGAACTAATGATAAACACTATAGAGGATTGGGTCATTAGGACTGCCTTCAGACAGTTAGCTTTTTCAGTGACTGCCTGCCAACATTGTTAAAAATATTGTCATTTCAAAATGAATTTCCAATTCAAAGAAACTATGCATGTTTATTCTAAAAGGCATTATTTTATATTTTACACAAGAGATATCCCTTTTAAAGCTAAACTTCCAATTACTCATGTGTAAATGTGATATTATATTATTTGGGTGATTTAAAACTATTTCCTGTGGTGTTTTATATAGGTTTCCGTGCATGTTCTGCAAAGGCTAAATCCCAAATCTCCCACACACTCCCCCCGTGTCCGAACCACCTTGATTTGACTATTTGTTTTACTTCTGTAACATAGTGACATCACTATGTAACATTCGCACTTCTATTGGCTGGCGCTCATTGTATGCAATACGCTGAGAAGCAGGACCTTTCCGACATCTCGAAGCCGTTTACTAAACCCAACATAGCCGGGCCAGCTAGCCAATCAGAGAAGACTGGGTTGTGGTTTCAGACAGAGGGTGAAAATATGTGCTCTAGCACATGCAGAATGAGAAAAATAAAGTACTTTTTAACATTAAAGCATGGAAACATG